TCTTTATAAGATTGGGGGAACCCAAATTGTGGAAGGACGATGTTCAATGCGTAGTAGAGAGGGGAATAAATAATTACAGCAATTCAACAAAATTGAAAAAAAATACTTTTCAAGAGCCCAATGCATTTGAACTCCAAATCATGATTGCATGACACACCATGCTAAAAAATAGTGCCAGGAATAGAGTTAAGGAAAAAAGGCCACAGTGCATTGCGCTTCTGCTATGACGCAAAGCGATGTGACGCATCAGACTCACCCACCCCTGCCCAACCCCCTGCTTGTAGCCAGCCATGTCTGTGGAGCGTTCGATTTTTCCGTCCATTTTTAGTTCTTATAAAGTAAATCTTTTGGGACCACAAGAATATTTTAAATCTTTTCTTTTTCTTCACTTTTCTGCGGCGTACACCACCCCCAATCATCTTTTTCACTTTTCTTCTTCACAAAGCACCCATCACCATTATCAAATGGCAAACAACAAGAATCCTTATCCCAAAGTTTCACGCAACAAAGGATGGAAGGGCCGAAAACCCATGGAAGAAAAAGGAATTGATTTTTATGCTAAGGATAGCGATTTTGATAAGACCGTAGTTGATACCATCAAGCATTACAACAGGAAAATTTTCGTGCAGTATCCTGGTATTTTTGTCTAGACCTTGTTCTAAAGTTTTACAAGAATCTTAACAAAGATTCAAATCAATATGCTGTTAGGGGAAAGATAATCAGCTTCGCACCTGAATGCATTAACCAACATTTTAGTCTAGAGTCAATTAGTAACGAGTTGACGCAGATACTTTTCACAACACCTAATTGGGAGGAAGTTGAAGGAAAATTGTGTCCACTTGGTTCGAATTGGGCATTGAATGTTAATGGAACGCGAAAATCTTTGATTGGAAAATATTGGTTTAAGTAATAGACTATGGGTAACCTTCATAAACAGCAAATTGATACCAAATACAAATAACTCATTGGTTAAGTTACCTAGAGTGCTTCTCCTTTGTCATCTACACTCATATGCCAGTTAATAGGAAAATCAGCAGTATCAATATCAAGGCATGCATAACTCACCCAACGAGTTGTAGTTGTTACACTTATATAAGTTCCGGTATTTGACAGGAATCTTTCTGGTATGATTGGAGATTTGTTGGTCATTGCAGAGATAAATTTAGGATATAGAGAACTCTAGTTTTAGAGAACTCTTAACTTGCCTCAAACGATAAGTTATCTACTATTGGAATGAAATGGGCCGAATAGACTCGGAATGGATATAAAGGATTCAAAAAGCCAACCCGGAGTCCCTAACTAGTTTGGGATTGAGACCAAGTAGATCGATTGACTAACTTGATGGTTTTGAAGAGAAGAAAAAAAACCTGGATAAAAATTAGTAAAACTCGGATGCAAATACATGGACTCACCAACAAAAAAAAAAATGAGACAATTCACATAGCTTTTTTTGCCAAATGAAAATTGAAGGGAAAGATTTTTCAGATAATGATATTCAGAAATTATTGGTTTCATGCTACTTCCAGATGATAAATTAGGATAACACAGGTTGAACTATTCATGATTTATTTCCATGATAATGTTCCTCTCTAAAAGAAAGAATCAACTTGACAACAGATGATTTATAGAGGACTTACAGATTTTGGATCAATAGACATTCCTGACAATGATCCTCCCATTATCTTGAACGAAACCTGCAATCACATGATGAGTATAAATAAAATACTTTTCACAAAGCAATTAATTTCAACAACTTAAAGAAATGTTCATATCCACATCAGCTAATTGTCATACTATTAAAAAAATAATATATCTTGATTATGAGGTTGATGAAGTACTTTTGACTATTAAAAAAAAATCAGTAGAGTCAATTTGCACTCTGCGGACTCGCCTAACCTTGTTACTCTTCTGTTCCTCTTTTTCTATTTTGAATAGTCTCTCTCTCTCTCTCTCTCTCTCTCTCTCTCTCTCTCTCTGTGTTCCTCTCATTATTCTCTTCTTGTCTGAGGGGACAGAAATGGAAACTCCCAGGGATGGGGAGTGCTGATGGTTATGGGCTGTGGTAACAAATTGATCGCAGAAAGCTCCTCGAACATTCTCTCTCTCTCTCTCTCTCTCTCTCTCTCTCTGGGTGGTGATCTTGTGATGGGTATCAAGTTCGATCCCAACTCAAAACATTAACAACAAAAACATCATATCCAGTGTTCTGGGGAGGGTAGTGTACGCAAACCCTACCTCTACCTCGTGAAGGTAGAGAGGTTGTTTCCGATAGACTCTCGACTCAAGGAATGCATAATCATAGCAGTTTTGGAAAAGAAATACAGTAATGAAGAAGCCATGGAAAGAGAAGCAGTAACCACAGCCAGAAAAAAAAATAAGATAACCAAAGCAAAGACAACAGGTAGTAATAGAAATCTAAGAATAAGAAACACGAGAATAACACTAGTACTACAGGTATAAAGAAGTCCTTACCGATTAAAAAACATATACTGATAAAAAAAGTATGTCCCCAAGTCTAACAGTTTTCACGAAGTCTACTATATATATTCATTCTTTTTTTTCAAACGGTTAAGTTGTCTCCATGTGACCTATAGGTCACGGGTTAGAGCCGTGAAATCAGCCATTGTTGCTTGAATCAGGGTAGGTTGCCTACATTACAACCCCTGAGGTGCGGCCCTTCCCCGGACCCTGCATGAACGCGGGATTCTTTGTGCACCGGGCTGCCCTTTTTTTTCAGTCAGCTCTATCTAGGGCCACATTCTCTGCTAAGACAATATCTTCCTAACTTTTCCATGCGACTTCGCCAGCTCTTTGCTTAATCTTAAACATTTGGTTACTTAGTATACCTAAACTCACAGTAAATCACAGTACTAGCATGTTCAAAGAATAGCCCTCTTATCCCTAGTTTCTTTTTGGTGCACCAATGAAGTTCCAGTGTGTAGAAAAGCTTGGTTGTTATTCATAGAGAATCGCATTATGTTGTAGATTCTCTACCTTTTAGTATACTACTTGTATACAGGAATTTTTTTTTTTTGATAAGGTAAAACATATTGATGAAACCAGCAGAAACTGGGAAATATTCATTTAAAAGGTACAGATATGTGCATCACAGAGTGTAATGAACAGATAAAGTTCAACATAGCTTCGGGCTCTAACAAGTTTGGGCCAGCCATGTTGCACCAAAAACTAAACAAGAATATACATTTGGGTTTAAGCTTAAGTACAGTGTCATTCTTGTCTGCAAAAATCCTAGCATTTCTTTCTTTCCAAATGATCCAGCATATAGCAGCAGGAAGCGAGGTTTTAGGGAATTTTCCCCACTGCTAATAGAATCGTTTACCTTACAAAAAAAAGGAGTTTATATGGAAAAATAAAAGGAAATCTTAGCTGTCTGGACAGCTCACATCAAAATAATCCATGAAAGAGGAAACATTACAACTAAAGTTGCTATACAGAATACTTACTTTAGCATAATCGTATGCTTGCCAGCAAAATGGCTCCTCCAAATCAACTGCTTGAAGATCCTTATTCATTTTCTCCATTAAAAAGTCTTCCACGTTCGCCATATTATTCGTCGACTCTGTTTCGGCATCACTCTCTTCATCTTCCATATTCCCAAGTACTGCCCCTGAGGAAGGCAATCTTTGAGGTTGCCATGGAGCAAACTTTACTGTCCCTGGAAATGTTGCCTCAACACTCTTTCCTGATACTCCTCGACCGGTTGTTATAATTTTCCATTCAACAAAGTGTTCAGCAACTGAAACTGTTCCAATAGAAGGTGTCCCTTCAAAAGAAAGCACCCTTCTCCTAGGGAAAGGTATTGTCACTGTGCAGAAATCCATCGACAGAGGAGCTCTATAACCTTCCATGAGCCGTAACCTAAACAAAAAAGCACCTTCATTTTCTGAAACCATTGAAAGCTGATAAAAACCCTTGATCGGAGGCCGCATACCACAAAGTGCCTGATAACGCATCAATACGAAATTTCCTAATGGTGGTGAGAACATAAGTGTTTGCTTCTCGTTACCATGCTCTGGAACTTGAGCACAGGGGTGGAAGGATAATAGCTCAACACGAGCAGTGTCCAAACCTATAAGTGGGAACATCACATCGGGCAACCCTTCTAATTCCGCTCGACAGTTAACTTGACCTGAAATTGTTATGCTATCTGGAATTTCATCGCGATCATACATGGCAGCATGGACTGTCTCGTGAATTGTGAACAGAATTCTCTGCTTCCCTCTATAGAGATAAGGCTTCCATGCTGGTTGCTTCTGGTCTGCAGGAGGGATATCTGCTGAAGAAAATCCATTTATCTTGACAGCTGAAATGTTGGTGTAGTTAAGATCCAGAGGGGTGCCTACATTTAAGGTAGACGGCTTTTTTCAGCGAAGAGTAAATCCTTCAATTAAATCACACAAGCATGGACAAAACAATTGCAATGGTAGATACCACAATAAAGATTACCAACCAAAAGGCATCGCACTGCTTATAAAAGAGCGAATAGCATCTCTATCTAGGGGCCTCAAACCAATCTTTGGAGCATCAGATGTCATTGCTCCACTGGTTGCAGCTCCAGAAGCTGTGGATCCTGCAACTGGAGCAGCTACAGGTTTTGCTCTTGCTGAGATACCAATACTTCCAGTGAGAGAATCCAACAACCCACCCACTGATGGAGATGCACTTATGACTATTTCAGGTTCTGTCACATTGCCTGTTATGATGTCTCCTATCATGTGACCCACCATAAATGCCCTGTATTTGGAAAGTATTGCAATTTTAGTAATAAGTGGAACTGGAGAGATCTAACTACGCAAGATCTAAACCAACTTGCATTAGCCATAAAAGAACCTTGCGATGATTCATATTAGACCAAGCTAAACCCCAGCTTCAAAGCTAACTTCGAGGAGCGAAGTTCATGTATAAGTATATGATTAAGTACAAGAAAGAATTTAATATGCTATACTCTAATGAACTGTCAAATTAACTCCTATAAACTAATCAAATCCCCCCCCCCCCCNCAAACCCCAAAAGAAAGAAACTAATTCCTCTACACACAGCAAGGAATAGTAGGTGGCGATGACAGGCTCAAAATCTTTTTGATAAGTCAATGACAGGCTCAAAGATCTATAATACTGTACCTAGAAAAGGAAATCTATGATATTTTGGCTGGGCAATTCCCGGGCGATTATCAGCATCACTATTATTAGCTTTAATACATATTCCCCTCCCCCCGAACTTGAGAAAAATCCCCCTTGCATACCTTAACTTTGCAGGTGCCCCGTTATACACCCAAACTTGTAAAAAAAGTGGATCCGAGATCCCCTTGAACTGTGTTAGACCATTGTAAAGTGGAGGGTGTGATTCATATGCTTAACACGTATCAAAGACAAAAAGAGAAGGAAAAAAAATCAGAAGTATGCCCCTTACAATGTCCAACATACATATATCTACCCCATGTCCATGGAAGCACCCTTTCAACTTCAGTCTCCAATTAAAACATCACTACCGAGTGTTCGGACCCGGGAAAATTCTCCAGCCACTTCTCTTTCTCTACACTCTTAAATCGCTGTGGGTGGTACTATTTCTCTCTCTCTTTCTTCTTTGAGTATATATGACTTTGTTCTCATTGTTTGCTCTAAAAAGCAGGAAGTCTTTACGGTGCTGCAAAATGGCTGGAGTTTCATTAGGCAAATGTAATTAACTTGCGTGCTTTATTGTAATCAAACATTACTGGAAATAATAATTGATTTTTCTGGATAACTTTAAACTAATTAAGCAAGAAGGCCGTAAGAAAATATGGAAGAAGATGGTGAAAAATAGAAATGGAGGTCTGCAGAAAATGGGGAAGAAGATGACCCTTTTAAAAGAAAGAAAAGAAAAAATATAAATGTTGGACACATGGTAGTGAAATGAGGTCTCAAACACACATTTTAACATCTCATGCCATTCCATTATCTACTAAAGACGCGCAAACAACGTGGCAGTGTAAGGGGGTCTCAGACCACTCCTTTTACATGTTGGGGTGTGTAATGAGTCCCCAGCAAAGTTAAGGCGTGTCTGAAATTTTTTGCAAGTTCAGTGGGAGAGTATGCACTAAATCATAATATTATTACTATTACTGTTGTTTTTAAAATTATCATTTCATTTTTTTGGGTCAAAGCAACAGATTAATAGTAAAGCATGTTCACATTAAGATTAATTGGCAAACAAACTGTTACTAGTTTAATGTCAAAAGCATCTTTTACCTTCCTACTCTTTCACTATCTCAAGCATTAATTTTCTTTATTTCTCTCTTGGCAGGGGTTACAATTTCGAAAGATTTCTTTACTTGTACAATTTCTTGAAACTTGAAGAGAAAATAGCTGACCTGAAAGTTGATGTTAGTCCACCTATAATACATATTATGGACCAAACAAGATTACGAAGTCAAATGTTATTACGACAGCACCGATACCATCAAACAAAAAGAAAAAAAGATACCAGATAAATCTTTTTTTTGGTAGTTACCAGATAAATCATATAAGTTTAATATGGAAGATGAAAAGGAGGAGAGATGATGAATGTGTACTCCTGTGCTCAGATATGCCCATTTATACATGCAAAAGTAGCGAGGGAATCAAGGAGCCTCTATCAATTTTAATGGCCTTCCTTGAATACTGTACATGAATATCTCAAGCAAGAGAAAAGGAGGGAAAATAGGAAAGGAATAACATATCAGGTAAAATGAAACAACTCAGAGAAGCATCACCAGACCCAAGAAAACCAGAACCAATAACAGCCATATGGTGAATTAATCTTATTCTGCATTCAGAGACTTGTATGGCAAAAACTTATTTGAAGATTAAATGGCAAACAGAAAGCATGCCAAGTGGAGAAGTTTCATCTGTAAAATAGATCCTTAACAGGATAGATCACTGAGGATAGAATTTAGACATTGGAAACTCGGGTTGAGACATCAAATATATATAACTTACAGTTGTTGCACTTAAGATGAGAAAATAGGAAAGTAATCTGCCTGTATGAAAGAAGGCAGCATTCATATCATAATGTCAGTGAGAAAATGTGTCCAAGGATAAAAGGGGTAAGAGAATTAATAGCATCAGTTGAGCGCGGAGCTTTATGATTGATCAAGCAGTGAACAAGAAGGAAAAAGACAACTAATGAATACTCTTACATCAAAGGAGGAATCAACTTAAGCCATAGATAGATGCCAAATGTCAGTTTTACCTCTTAACTTGAAACAGGTAAAGATGGAACTTACCCTGTGATGGATGGAAGATTAAGCAGGAGGGCTGATAAACTTTCATCTGCTCCAACAGCATTTCCACAGTCAGATCTTTTACACATCCTTATATATGTTTTTAGATGATGAGGTTCCACTAAAGGCAGTACAAGGATACAATAGTGGTCCTTTATGTGCAAAACAAGCGGCCACAAAGTACGATTTGTTTCCTCCTGTTCATTTTTAGTGTAAAGACTTATTATGTGACGCGTAATTGGATCATCAACCCAGGAATCTGAACCTTCAACTGAATGGTTTATCCTAATGCCAAATCCACGAGCAGATCCCTCCCTATAGAAAAAGTTATACATTGTAATTCATGGAAATTCCGATGGCTACAATGTAAGGACATGAAAGTGAAGAAAGATAAAGAGAACAATGGAAACTAAGTCAACAATAAGTAAGATAACGGATTTGACATGATAAAGTCAGATAGTGAGCAGTTGCATGCCATTTCACTCTCCATGACAACTTCATCAACAGTCATAGCTAATAACACCAGACATCTTTATAGAAGAAGTTAATAGGAAAATTACTAGAGGTTTTCTTACCTAAATCTTTCATAACCAAGAAATTCACAAATCTGACAGAATCTGAAAGAAAATGGACTTACGAAAATGGAAAACATCTGAGTTTTTCCATCCAAAAAAGAGATAAGAGCAACAAGTTGAGTTTAGATTTTAGAAGATGGTTTCAAGATGTCATTCAAATCTCAACTTGCAATTCGAGGAACCAACCTTTCAAACATGAACCTATCCCCTCGGGCCACAATCATAGAAATACACAGAGAAAGAGATAGATGTGGGAGGGGTCCCCCTATAGTCATTTATCTCCATGTAGTACTGATCAGATTTCTTTATTTTTTATTTGTCATAGAATTGGAGACCAGAAAGAATTGAACTGAAGTCTAACAAATAAAAATGATAATCGAAAGTCCAGTGGCTTCCTTATCCTTGGGAATTCTTCAACTTTTTGCTGATAATCCATCTTTTGAACTGAATTCATTTCTCCAACTGAACTACAAAAAACCATGTGTTTCACTGGGCAAGACTTGCATCTGGCTTTTAGTCATGAAACCAAAATTTCATAATGAAAGGCTCAAGAATAAAATCAAGCTAATTGAAGCTCCACTTTCTCATTTGGCCTAGTTCTTTAAACTGGATTATTACCCCCTCACATCATCTCTAAGATTATAAAATTAGGAAACAGAACTAAATAAATGACTGTAATGAACCCACAATTTTTTATTCCTAAACAACTTATATCATAATAAGCATTCAGTAGATTATCCAAAACCACACGCATCGGCTTGATTAAAAGAAATGAGCTTAGATCCTAGAATTTAGTGGGCGTTGGGATATAAGAATTGTAAAATTCCAAAATAGGGGGAAAAAAATTTTCAAGTGAAAATGGTATTTGAAATTTAGAGTTGTGTTTGGTCATGAATATAATTTTGGGTTGTTTTTGAAGTTTTTTGAGTGAAAATTTTGAAAAAAAGCTTTTTGGAGTTTTTCAAATTTTCGAAAATTTTCAAAATGCATTTTCAAGTGAAAATTGGAAATTTTATGAACAAACGCTGATTTCGAAAAAAAGTAAAATTTTTTTGGAAAAAAGGGAAAAATTTCTTATGTCCAAACGGGGTCTTAGAGTACCTTTTTGAGAGAAAGGTAGAAATACGGGCGTTATTATCTACGGAGTTTTGAAACCCAGGAACATAAAATTTCTCAATTATCCACAAAAAAAAAAAAAAAAAATGTTGNAAAAAAAAAAAAAAAAGATGTTGCTATTTTCTATTACTGTAGTTTTCGAGCTAAATTAGTGGGCGTTTAGACATAAGAATTGTAAAATTTCGGAAAAAGGTGAAAAAAGTTCAAGTGAACATGATATTTGAAAATTAGAGTTGTGTTTGGACATGAATATAATTTTGGGCTGTTTTTGAATTTTTGTGAGTGATCTGAAGTAAAAAATTTGAAAAATAGCTTTCTGAAGTTTTTCAAATTTTCGAAAATTCCGAAAGGATCGACACTCAGCCCTTTTTTGTTTGCCCTGGCAATGGACGTACTGACGCGCCACATCCAAGGGGAGGTGCCGTGGTGCATGCTATTTGCATATGATATTGTATTGATTGACGAGACGTGAGGCGGTGTGAACGCGCAGTTAAAGGTATGGAGGCAGACCCTGGAGTCTAAAGATTTCAAGTTGAGCAGGACCAAGACAGAATACTTGGAGTGTAAGTTCAGTGGTGAGACTCAAAGAGGGGAAGGGGAGGTGAGGCTGGACTCGCAGGTCATCCCTAGGAGAGGAAATTTTAAGTACCTTGGGTCTATTATTCAGGGGGACGGGGAGATTGATGAAGATGTCACACATCGTATTGGGGCGGGATGGATGAAATGGAGACTCGCTTCCGATATTTTGTATGACAAGAAGGTGCCACCGAAACTTAAAGGTAAGTTCTACAGAGTGGTGGTCAGACCGACGATGTTGTATGGGGTTGAGTGTTGGCCAGTCAAGATCGCTCATGTCCAGAAGATGAAGGTAGCAGAGATGAGAATGTTGAGATGGATGAGCGGGCACACCAGGTTAGATAGGATTAGAAATGAGGTTATTCGCGACAAGGTAGGTGTGGCACCTATTGAGGACAAGATGCAGGAAGCACGGCTTAGGTGGTTTGGCCATGTGAGGAGGAGGAGCACAGACACCCTGGTGAGGAGGTGTGAGTTATTGACATTGGAGGGCCTACGGAGAGGTAGAGGTAGGCCAAAGAAGAGATGGGGAGAGGTGATTACGCAGGACATGGCGCAGCTTCAGCAAACCGAGGACATGACCCTTGATAGGAAGGTATGGAGGTCGAGGATTAGGGTAGTAGAGTAGGTAGTCTAGAGTGTTCATAACAGTAGTATTGGCATGTAGTCTTGCTTTCTGTTCGTAGTAGGTTTTTATGACTAACCGTTGTTTTCTTTCATTGTTGATCACCTTACTATCTTGTTGTTTTTATTCTGCTTTTATATGGCTTTTTGGTGATGTCCCTTCTTGTCTATATTTTTATTATTGTGGTGCTTATACTTTCCTGAGTCGAGGGTCTAATGGGAACAGCCTCTCTATCCTCCAAGGTAGGGGTAAGGTCTGCGTACACACTACCATCCCCAGACCCCACGGTGTGGGATAATACTGGGTATGTTGTTGTTGTTGTTGTTGTTGTTGTTGTTGTTGTTGTTGTTATTGTTGTTGTTGTCGAAAATTCCGAAATTCATCTGTAAGTGAATCGAAAATTTCATGGCCAAACACTGATTTTGAAAAAAAGTGAAAAAAATCTCAAAAAAAAAGAAACTTTTTTTATGGCCAAACGGGTCCTTAGTCACTTAGATCAATCCAGTGTTTGTTATCTCGCACTAAAGCAGGTACAAGGCAACTCTATTCACCAAGACTTAGGCAAATAGGGAAAAAATCACCTAGTCTCTGCTAAGATCTAAATCTTGGTTCCCAATGTTGTCATTCGTATTCTTCATAGTGTTTTAATTGAATCCCCTTCGCTAAAAATTTATATTGTGTAAAGAGCGTAAAAAATTAGGTTATTTGGTTATATACGGGTTGTTGAATCCCCTTGACATGAGGACAAATTCTAGTAAAGTAGCAAAGGGGATTCAAAAATTATTTTTAGGTCATAGCTTCATATCTCAAGTATGATATTTTTGAATTCCCTTGTATGGCTCCACCACTGATTCTTCAACAGCTAAGTCATCCGGAGGCGGATGTAGAGTGTTGACGACCGGTTCAATTGAACCCATAACTTTTCAAAAATTTATATGTAAAAATTCCTTAAAATTATAAAAATAGTAGATATGAACTCATAACTTAAAAAATATAATAGCCCCAATGCTAAAACCTTAAAAATTAAACCCATAAAGTATAAATCTAGGATCGTCTCTCAAGTGATCCCTTGGGGAGATGAGGATAGTACATTATTATGTTCACTTCAAGTATAAATACTACTAAAACATAGTATAAACTATCATCCCAAGCTTCAAACTTTATTCAAAAAAGGATTAAAAAAACCTTTTCTTGCGGTCAATGAATGCAGCAGCTATCTCTGAATCTGTAGGAAGAGAAGGCACCACAGTATACTTCAAATCATCCTCGATTAAACTCTTATCTCTCTCACACGCCGCCCGCCACCTCTTCTCTACAACCGGAAATCTCCTGCAAATTCATCACACCACCACCATTATCAAAATTAAGAATGAAAGAACACACACACACACACAGGGAGAGAGGAAGTACCGGGAGAAAACAACAGTGTCTTGATTGGCGAGGATCCAGAGAGCTCTAATACTACAAGAGCCCGGCATTTGCGACACCGGAGATCAACTCAACGGCGGTTTCCTCCGAGCTCAACTAATTTCACCGCCGTTTGCGCCACCGTTTTTCTGGCGTTTACTGCATATCTGCGACGACGTTTCGTTTGACATATGGATTTGAGAGAATTACTTAATGAGGCACTTGAAGATTAAAATGAGATTTGGTGAATATATTTTGGGGGAAATTCTCCAAAGGGCTGAGAATAATAATGGAGTTAATTTTATAGTCAAAAAAATTTTAACTAGAGAATTTGATAGAGTCAAATCCTAAATTTTTAATATGAACTAAGGATGCACTGGCAGCACTGCTGTCGTTACAATGATTTTTTTTTTTTGTTATCCAATTTTATATTCTTAGAAAATCATTGAAACTCTTATAAAATACTACTAAATTTTTTTTAAAATTAAGATTCTAACACATCATGTCTTATATATCCCATGTCTTTTGAATTATAACTTTATCATTTAAGTAGAAAAATTACAAATTGATTGCATAAACTTACTAGTTTTGGACTGAACAAAGAACCAGATGCAAAGTAATTTGTCGAATATGATGAATATTGTTGATGGTTAGATTAATCATAAAATATTGAAATCCAACTTCACGAGATATTGCATCGTTTACACATGTATTACGTAACTTTTTTCCTAGAATATCACTCTAAGTCAAAAATGAAAGAAAACATAAAAGTTGCTCAAGACCCTCGTCTCCTTCCAACATAAGACATGAGTTATAAAATTATGGAAAAGGGTCAAATTTGCCCCTTTACTATGAGAAAAATATCAATTTCATTTGTCGTTATACTTTCGACACAAAATGCTCATGCCGTTACCCAAATGGCTTAAATATACATCTACTTCATTAAAACTATCCTAGGTGGACTCTCAGTGGCACTACCATTTTGGTGAAGTAGATAACACATGACTTTCCACTTTACCGCCCAAACCCATTTACCCCCTCGCCTCCGTTTTTTCTATCAACAACATGTCCTACTCCTTTTCCATCACCATTAACATATATATAATTTACCCGTAAAACTGTATATTTAAATTTATAACGTGGTTTATAGACAAGCGAATCGATTTGATCCAAAAATGATTTTTAAAAAAAATATAACAAAAATAGGATTAGCGATTTAAATCAAAAGGAAGATAGCAAGCATGATTATGAGCTCGGTCTTCCCTAGAGCAAGAACAGTAACAATGATAAAACAATGATAAAAAATGCTTTTCATTGAGCTTGAACAGTATATTATAACTTTTGTGTGCAGGATTTGTCGTCTCCTTACAAGAGTTGCCAATCTAGTATTTATAGCTATTCCTAGAAAGACAAGATCCTAAAATCATGCTCTTCTTGAATGAGAATAAAAGTGGCACTGATGGGTGCATAACGGCTGGCGTTGAATGTAAATATTCTTTGTAACGGCAGTTCATTTAATTCTATCCGATGTCAAGCCTCTGAATCTTTGCCATCAGTTATGCTTCATTCGAAATTCACTCTGTATCGGTTATGTACCTCATAAACGATATCAATCATTTACCGACTCAAATTCTGTTTGTTCTCGATTTCACGTGTCACCTCGCTATTCAGCCACCTGTAATCAACCAATTTTACCCCATACAGATAGTCCCCCTACTTTCTAGTGACGCAACTCAGTGTTACCGGAAAGTATATAAATATCCTTTCTTCGCAGAAAAGTTCTTGAACGGTCTTTGACATTTGAAATACTCCTTACACGTGTTGCCCCGTGATTCAGTGAGTATTCTTGTCGGGTTTTGAGGTAATGACCACGATTTTGTGCCGTCTATATCTTCTTCATTACTCATCATTTTTACTTCTTTACTTTTACTACTCTCACAATCAATCTCTTTCTCTGAACTTTCTTAGAGCCTTTTTTACAGCATTCAGCTTTCTCAATAAGAACCTCTTTGCTAACCTTTTACCACCATGTCTTCTTATTCTTATACTGCTTCATTCGTAAACACTAGACTTCTCTTCAGTAGAGGCCCGGAGAAAAACAAAACTAAGGAGGCTAACGTTGAGTCTGATCCTCCAATCGTTAACACCATCACACTACTTCATCTCAGTACTACAAACGATCTTCAAGAAAAAAAACCCTCTGAAACCATCGATAAAAGACATCACCTCGTATCCGGTGGTGCATCGATCATAAGCTTGGGGATAGCAGCGGAAATCATCCTTAGGACATGCATTATTGAGATCCCTAAAGTCGACACTAACTCAAATTTCTGTTCTTCTTCTTCACATGGACAATACCTGAAATCAATGTGGGGTACTTAATTTCACGGATGAAGCTAGCTTCAATAAGCTTATTAACTTTAGTTTCAATTAAGGGAACCAACAGTGGCCTAAAGCGTCGTTGAGCTTGCTTGATGGGACAAACACTTTTCTTGACCACAAGATGATGGACTACCACTTTGTGGTCTAAGCCAAGAATCTCCTTGTAACTCTGGGAAAAGACATTCTTATAGTACTTAAGTAGTTTAATGTAAGCAATTTCTTCATCAACTTCTACTAAAGCACTTACATAAGTGGACCTTGGATCTTCTTCAGTGCCAAGGTTTACCTATTTCAATGCACAGACCATCATTTTAATCTCTTCTTCAAGTTCAGGCAGAGCATCTTCAGCGTCTTCATCTTCTTTAGGATCAATATCGTTGAAAAATATGTGGTAACAGGAGGAAATATCATTCAATTCTTCATGAACATTTTTGGAGATAAAGTTTACCACTTATCTTATGCACTAACATGATATGAAGAGCCAACCCTTTCTTCGTCTTCATCATGTTCTTTGGTGTAGACCACAACATGCGACTTTACTTTTAGTACCTCTCCGCATGAAACTACAAGGTTTGTTTATCGCTTCATTCTGGAAGGGATCAAACTTTAACAATCATTGGAGAGCCTTTGAGATTTAGATAAAGAAGATGATTTCATGATTTTATAGTTTCTGTGCAACTTGCTTTTCTTCTTATATGGCCCTAATCTCTCAAATACGAAAGTTCTTGCAGTTGATTTTCTAGAGATCAAAGACAGAAGGCCTTTCATTAGAAGCAACAGATTCATCTTCCGTAGTGATGTAGTTGTTACTTGCCCTTCTCATGGGGATGCAGACTAGCGAAGGTTGTTTGTATCCTAAACCTTCACGTGATTGACTTGTAACAGTTCTGAGGGAAGCTTCCCTAATTTTGATAGTTCATTAGGATTGTATCCAATATTTACAAGTAGTTTTTAAGCATTTGGATTGAAACCTTCATCCTTACGCTTCCTTGAGAGTGTATCATTTTGTAGTGTATTGCGGGTCACAAATTGTCCAAGTGATTTTGCAGATAACTTTACCATGTCAATTTTCCTAATAGGAAGGGTCAGTCCTCCTAATGCATTTCCTAGCAACTTAAGAGATTGTTCTTCTACCTTCTTAAACTTGGGAACATAGTGAAGAGCATGTGCTACCCTTTTACTTGAAGATGAGATATCCAATTGAGGTACCTTATTCATTTTGGCGAGTATTTAATCTTATTTAATGACGACCTTCCCAACTCCCACCTCGGCTCTCTTGGAAATGGGCTCTGCATTCTTAGTCGTTGCAATGTCATCACTTTTCCCTTCGTGGCGTTGCCAACTTTGACTTCACTCGTGGACGTAGTTTTTCAAGTAGAACTCTGCATAAGCAAAATATGACTCAGTTTCAGTGAATGGCTTATCATAGGCAACTATCTCTTTTTTGACTCCGTCGTTATGATATTTCAAACATTGATAGTAGGTGGATAGAACAACTTTGTTCTCATGTATCCACGGCCTACCAAGCAACATGTTGTATGAAGTTTTTGAGTCAATCACATACATCCATACACTTGAATGCATCTCCGATGGTGATCTTTAATTTTATAGAACCTATTGACCTTTTCCCCCTCCCCGATTAAATCCTTGAATTATCAAGTGGCTTTCAAAAAGTTCTTTAGTTGAAATTCCAAGTTCCTTCATTATGCGGATGTGAAGAATATTGACTCAGGATCCGTCATCTATCAAGATTTTGTTTATCCTATGGTCAAGCACATACCCTACCATGAATAAAGAACAATTGTGCAGCGTTTCACTAAGTAGAAGATCATCAACAGTAAATGTAATTTTAGCCATGCTAACATCTACGACTTCACAAGAGGACCTTGGAGGGTCCTCTAGCGGTGGCGGACACAATGCAATTTTTGCTTCTTTCTCATCAATGTTACAACACAAAGCTTTGACGTTGTTACGAACTAATTTGGTGCTAAACCAACTTGGTAATCAATTTTCCAGTGTTACTAGTCGACGTACTTTTCGGTGGTGGTGCTCCTCCATGTTCTCCTTCTTGGAGCACTTAACTGGATTTTTCATTTTGGATGTCCTCACTATTTTCCCCCTAGTTTGTTGTTTGGACGACTCCTTTAGTGAACATGCTTTATGGAATTTACGGTGAGTCACGAAAGTCCAACCCTCGTCATCAAGTTGATCTACTTGGTCTCAATATCTATTTGTGGATCCTTCTTATACTAGCACTAGATCACTTGGCATGAGATGAGATAGTAATTCATTTACATCGAGAGGTTCAAAGTTTCCAAACTTGATCATTCTTCGCAGAAAGATATTTGGCATGTCTTTCTCTTCATGTCCCTTAGCAACATTGCAGGTAATGAATGGATTGAGTGAGCCAATAGTGATACAAACTTGGTTTATATTTGCTTTCTTATCTTCAAGTGTGATTTTTCCTTCAATAGCTAGTTCCATAAATTTATCCTTGAAAATAAAGCAATTCTCAATAGGGTTGCTGACCAGTCGATGGTACTTGCAATAATTTGGCTCATTGGTTCTCCCTGCTTCATCTGGTTATTTCATCTCTAGCAACTCGAGAAGTTTTAGCACAAGGAGTTTATCAAAGATTGCGCAAATATCAGAATCAAGGAATGGGTACTCTTTCTCTTGCATTTCCTTTAGGGTCAGTTTTTGATTTGATTTATTCTCCAAAGAAGTCATCTTCACACTCTTCTTCTTGCTTACCTTAGTAGTGAACCTCACGGGCGAAATATTGACATTCATGGATTTTTTTCTTTCAGCATTGGGTAAAAAAATCATTTTCTTGACCTCTTGATTGTCTCTTTCTTTGCGAGGTTCATGGACAAGTGGCCCTTCACTC